TGAGAGAGAGAGATAGAGAGAGAGAAAGAGAAAGAGAGAGAGAGAGAGAAAGAGAGATGAGAGGAGAGAAGGAGGAGGAAAGAAGAGAAGGAAGAGAGAGAAAAAAAAGAACAAGAGGAGAGCGAGCGAGGCGAGCGAAGCGAAAGTAAGAGAGAGGAGAGAGAGAGATAAAAATAAAACTTAAAACCAATGACCAAATACTGAAGTTTGATGACCAGCCAGAATGCACAGCGTGGCTTATGATTATCACGATTCTTATGCTTTATCAGGCTTAATATCTACCATTATCCAATAGATAAAGAGGGTTTCCATGCAGACTACCTTGTGAATATTAAGTCTATCTCAGTTCATGACGAAAAGGGGTTTTCAATTTGACAGATAAGGTTCTACATTTATCTACTTTTAATACGAATTTGATGGCGATTATAAAGATAACAGCAGGGAGTCACGCGCGCTTTAAGAAGAAATCCGGGTACTAAATTAATCTCCTTAATCCTCTATGTCTCGAGAAGGTATATATTGCATTCCTCTCTCGTCATCGTTGATAAGAGTCATTCTTTCAGATTGATAAGATGAACCGTCGAGTCCAAGCTCATGGGAAGCTCATTGAACCCTCATCAGCCAAGACGTCCTTAGAGGGAGGAGACCACGAAGGCGGCGGCGCAGGAGGTCCCGAAGGAGTGTCTGAGAGGAAGATCTCACCGCCAGGGAAGGGAGATTCCCCGGACGTGGCGGGCGTCCTCCTGAGCAGCAGCTTGAGAGAGACTCGTCTAGACTTGAGAGACGCCAACAAGGAGGACGTCGACCTCATCTCCCTCGAGTACCAGACGTCCCCCTCGAGACAAGCTCCCCCCGTGCCGGCTCGGGCCTTCGAGACCAACCTCCAGTCGTCCTCCGCGACTTCTTCTCCTCCTTCCTCCTCCTCCTCGAGCACCCGCACCTCCCCCGTCCTCACACGCCCGCCGAGCACCTCCTACGACCACCTCAGCTGCCGAGAACAGGAGGCGAGGATCCTGCTGCTGAAGGAATGCCTGACCTCGCTCGACAAGATGACCCTGAAGCAGGAGGATCCGTCAAGGGGAGAGAAGTCGGGGAAGGGGAAGGGGCAAGGGGAGTCCCTGTCGAAGGAGGCGCTGCTGGAGATGTTCCGGAGGGCGATAGAGGCCCTGGATGAGGGGCATTAGGGTCCTAAAGGGGCCCTCACACGATAAATTTTTTCGTCAATTAATTGATATCAATTTATTGACGTCAATGAATTGATGGAAATCACTGTGCCCTCACACGGTCAATGATTTTACTTCAATTTTCAGTTTGATTCATAATTTCGAGATGAAAGCATCTGTGGCACTTGGAGTAGTGCTTGCTCTGGACACTCCAAAGCGAAAGAAGAGGAGTAAGTGGGTAAAGAAATGGTATCTCTGTCGAAGGGAACAAGGACATACAAGATTGCTGAGGGAATATATTTTCCATACAATATTTTATATGCGTCAGCCTTTTTCTCCCGGTCACTGTACTCGTCGGATTTTATTTTCCACAAGGCCGATAAGGATCTATAAACGTCGATTATCTCCATCATCATTTTACGCTCACTTTCTTTCTTCTTTTCAGCCATGATTACGATGACGACTCTTTCACTGCTGCAAGGGAAAACACTAAATTATTGATCAATATTGACGCTTTGCCCACACACGCTCAATTTTATTGAAGACCCATCAATAAATATCAAAGGAGTTTTGATCTATCAATGAATTGACTCAATGACATTGTTTCAATTAAATTGATATCAATGTCCCCCTCACACGGTCAATTTCTCCATCAATTCATTGACGTCAATAAATTGATATCAATTAATTGACGAAAAAATTGATCGTGTGAGGGCCCCTTAAGACTCGCTTTTATTAAGACTGTAGACTGTTTTATTGTTTTTTTTTTCTATTTGGTGCTAAAACTGGGTGCCTTTATCTAAACGGTAAAATCATTTCAGTTTTGTTTATTCAGTGATATATATCCCTATATATTCCATTCGTCTCATAAGGAACAAAAGAGATATTGATATAAGATTATAATCCACAATATCTGTTCACTATTAGCTTATTTTCATTCTCCAAAGCTCACTCTCACCATCAAAGACTTTCTCTTCCTCGAAATAATCATCAAAATACCACTTCATTTTCCTCATCACTATGATTCATACTTATCACTATCAAACTGATTACCATTTACATAATTTAATTCAATACTGTTCCTTAATTCCCATTTCACTATCACTTTTCTTTTCCATTCAATATCATTTGTACTCATCATCATCACTATCTCATAGAGACTGTAACACCAACACCATTTAAAAGTGACTGTGATACCATCATTTCATAGTGACTATAACAACATCTCATAGTAACTGCAGTGCCATCTCATAGTGACTGAAATACCACCATTTCATAGACTGTAATACCATCTCATAGTGACTAACACCACCATTTCATAGAGACTGTAACCTCAA